TATGCATGGCTCAGTTCCATGAGACCTTCTTTCACCCATTAGTTGTAATCTTCATTTATTTAATTAAATATATAATATGATATGGTACATTTATACAAAATATAAAGACCACATACAAAGCATTAAATTTTCAAGTACAATCGCGAAAGAGCTCAAAAAAAAAACAAAAAAGAATATTACTCCGATAGCGGCCTTAATTCAGGTCTGAAAGGGCTAATCACCGGAAAAGAAACTTGAAGGTGTCAACGAGGTCGCCTACACATGACGGCATACGGGCCAGAGTGACTTTGAGACCCTCACGACCAGGACGGATCAGACTGACCGAGGAGGGGATCACTGTAAGGAGAAAGTCTCAGTGATCGCAGTGAAGAGAAAGACTCAATGACAAGAGCATTTCAGTTCCAGGAGGGGAAATTGATCTGAGTGTAATTGATTTATTATCTGTCTGCCTCTTTATTACAATGGTTAGGGGAAATGGAAGAAAGGGAATGGAACAGAAAACTTTTTCTTCCCCATGAACAAACTTTCACATTCCAATAATTTACTGCTCCAAGGCGGTGCGTAATAATGTTTTTTAATTCTTCTTAGCCCAATTACTTTTATAAGTTTTTGAGCTAGACGAACGTAGTCCGGAGAAGGAGCTGTAGAAGGTAACTCAAAGTAAAGACTTCTACCATAAAAGAACAGCTTAGTTATCTTGAGCATTTTCTGATCAATGACGCAAGAATAATTGAGTTTTTGAACAGGATTTGCTAGAGGTTTATTCAGATTTTTCCTCGTATTGGTCAGAGACAGGAATAGACACTGAGAATACACACTCAAAAGAAGACACTCTGATTCCCATATGTACCTCTGAAGGAAGGAAAATATAAAATTTTTTTTTAAATTAGCACGCTCACATTTGCTTTTACACCGAATTACAACTTTCTGCCGTTACACAGGTATTAAAAAAAATTCTGGAAATGCGTCACTTCCAAAATAATGTGCCCTGTGGAAGTACGACTCAAATATAAAATATATAAATTTAACTTGCTTGCGTTAACGTGTTTCCCTGGAGAAAAAAAAATCTCGAAACACATGCCCCCCCAAGAAACATTCCAGGAGAAAATTTCCAGAATATATCCCTAGAGGGCTTTTTCTGATCTCAGCAATCTTGAATACTTTTTACCCTAGCAACATATAGCACTGAATCAACATTGAAACAACATTGTTTTTCAATGTTGTATGTTAATAGGGTAGCTTACTACTTGATACAAATAAGTAAGTAAGAATTCGGATTTCTCAAGACCTGCAATCTTGTTAGATGAGTTGTACATGTATCCAGTAAAAAGAGGCTCTCCAGTAATTAACATCAAATCTGTTTTTGAGGAAATATTGGTCGGAGGTATGTCCGCCTAAGGGGCACACCTTCTCACCTAGGACGTATATGCCCTTTTCTTTGAACATATGAAAACAATGCACATTTATTAGTTTCATTTTCATGATGAAGTGCAATCTTCATCTAAGAATTGTCAATGTCCAACTCCAATCCCCGTCTCTATGGCCAACAAGGACCATTGTCGCATCGAGTGCAGCGGCACACCTGATTTGAATCGCAATCTCCCGTGACACAACACTGAACCTTGCACGAAGTGATGCAAGCTAGTTTGCCTCCGATTTCGCAGGTTTTCCCAGCATCCACCCTCTCCCAAAGACCAGCCAGGACCAACATCGTTCCTAGAATGACCATGACCAGCCGGATCTTGCCCATTTTCTTCTCACACTGCAACAAATACATACCAATCATTACTTCCAAAGTGAGCGTTCATGAAACAATTCGGATTCCGTGGGCCGACGATCATTACATATGCACACAAGGAGCATTCAATAAGCACTGCCTCCTTATTCATTTTTCGCGAATTAGACAATATTAATATGTCATCCTCACACAACCAATTTGAAGTACTCCTGCCCTATCTCCATGCATAATTCAATCTTTGAAATCCAGCAACGACTGCATCTTAACTAGTCCTATCTAGGTTCCATTTCGAGCACTGGGAAAGGGCACATTCCAGACTATTCTGAATTTCGGTGCGCTTCCCGGCCAACTCAGACTTGAGTTGGTCGTGTTCATAACAACGAGTAGCAGCTCAATGCGAGATCGCATCAATATAGTACATGCATCATCACACTATGTCCATCACTTGTGATTTAAAATTTTCCGACTTGTCACTTGGGCTATTGCCTGGCGAAAACTTTTACCATCCACATGTGGAGACAGCTCATCACTCTCTCGTAGCCTTTTCAACTTCTCAGAATTATACTGTAACCGAGAAGTTCCCTACAATAAGTATCCCTTTTGGAGATGGAACGTGCATTATTAGACCTTTTAGAGATGAAAAAATCCAATGAAGCACCATGCACATAACCTTATGTCACCTTGGAGTGACTGATCGTGTATCACTTCCAGTCACGTGTGCCTCCAGTCCTAGCTAGTTCCCTGGCCTAAAAAAAAGAACTAAATCCAGGTTCCATCGTCAGTAATAACACGGGCAGTATGCTTTGAAGCTGTATTTTCAACTTGAGTGATGTTCTCGGGACAAATTTTTATTCGTTCCTGTTCTTATGCATCCGTGAGTATGTGGGCCTCTCATCTAGCACAAATTTTCTTCATTCAAATGCTAGTGTGGCGAATGGCCTCAACAATCACCGTCGAGATGGCCACACTATCAGCTATCAAATGCCAAAACATGCATCCTCTTCAACTATGTCCTTGAGAAGAGAGCACAGTTCCCTGGGATCGCACAGAAAGGGGATGCCTTCATGTGGGATTGTTTTCCAGGTTCCTCATTCCTTCTCTGGGGAGAGGAGCCCTCTGGGAGTTAGTAGTTATCTCAGGGACAAAGTTCTAACGTAAGTTCAAGAAGTCACCTGCACCAGGTTTTGTAAGTTGGTAAAACTAAGTCCAAGAAATGCAAGAAATAATCCTATGATATGATACGCAGAAAAATGAGGAAATCATGTCAAACTGAAGCCCACATTCCCTCCTTCATGAGCAATCACCTAATTTTCGTGCCAAGTCAATAAATACAGTAAGCTAGAAAACCCCTCGCACACTCTTACCCATTGTATTTCTTGCATACTAGATAAAGTATTCTACGGGTCGATTGCATGAACGTTGTCTTCCTTTAACCCTTGTCTAGCCATCGGCTATGAAAACAGATTGGCGATCGTTCGCGCAATCGAAAGTAGGAAACGGTTAACATATTTTCCTAGACAATGTTTAAACAATGGCTATCGATAATCAATGTTTAAAAGAGACATCGTTCATGCAATCGGCTGTACGATTCCACGATTGTAGGAAATGAGTGTCGCTCTGTTTTTACTCACCATGAGGATATTATCGGCTTTTTCATATTTCCTCCTCTGCTGCATGAACCAAACTCTACTACTCTTCGATTAATGAATTTATTGCACAAACTGCTCAAGTTTCTGCGTCCGATGACTTAAAAAAAAACCAAACACTTTTTGGGTAGGCAATGAGATAGAGGGCATGAGAAAGACACATATAGAGAAAGGAGAGACGAAAGATGCACAATACCTTTGATCAAATCAGCGAGTAGTTGAAGCCGATGCTGAAGTATTTCGGAAGCCGAGGAGGTCGCAGTAGATTTGACGTGTTGGTCGAACGGGGCGAAACCATATATTGCGCAAGGTTGCTGTTGACGCCTGTCGACTGTTGACGTTGCACCTCGACACCAGATCCCATTCTCGTCATGCACACCTGCAGGACGTCGTCCCGGGGCACAGTGCCACAAAAAATGTCCTCCCCTCCTGTTTAATGTGTGTAGTCTCGAAAACTTTCAATTCTGTCCCAACGTTCCTGCTGGACGTTGCATTTTAAAAAAATGTAACTCGATAAAGTCTTACCACATCAGATGGTGAGAGCGCCAAAAAGCGCTCACGTTTTAGATGATTCAATCTACATGTATCTATGTAGGCCATTTAGTACCAAGGCGCAATCATTACCCCTATCTCCTTAATATCGTTTCAATAATGTTGGAATGCTAGGTTTGGAGTGTCTACATGGAGAATTTCCTGGATTCGAAATAAGTTTTGAAATTGTTTCTCAAGTTTGAAAGAGGTTCGTCTCATTTCCATTCACCTTGGTCTGCTTATATTAGGTATTTTTTGAAGCTATATGTGAAATACTAAGAGCAAACTGCATTAAAAAAAAAACAATGTTCAAATTATGCTTGCGGATAGAACTGGAGACATAGTGCGGGTTATTTATTCGGATCATTAACTTTTGTTTCGACTCGTACATCTCCTTGAATAACTGTAGCATGAGAATATAAAGGCTTAATATGCTCAGAAGTGGGAG